TGTGTGTGTGTGTGTGTGTGTGTGTGTGTGTGTGTGTGTGTGTGTGTGTGCGCGCGCGCTCGCGGGTGTGTGTGTGTGTGTGTGTGTGCGAGTGTGTGCGTGCGTGTGTGTGTGTGTGAAGGGGGGTGCGCTCGCACTCGCGTGTATATTATGTTTTAATTTAAATACTAGCATATTAGATCCGTTACTTTAATTTTTGAAATTCCAATATTATTTTCAAAATTAGCAATCTTATAAGCCTTGATTTATTACAAAGATCACTGCACTGTATGGAAAATTGGGTTCTGATGAAATGAGTTGATTTTATGATGTAGCTTATCTGTAAACAAAAGATGTTATAAACATCAGACTCAATAATGAATAGTTTTTGAGGTATCAAAAAAGTTAATCACATACATACTATCAAAAGGTATATTAAAGAGGTAAAACTTGTGTTGTATAGTGTACAATTAGCAAAGCTATAATTAATATGTTCTGAAAATTTTTCGAAATGTCTCATTCAATTCCATCATTTTGCAATTAATTTGAAAATATGGTATTGATAGAAAATGATTTGATGCTGCTATTCTCGCGCGCGCATAGTTGTACACTACGGAGCATAAGTTTTATATTTTTGATACACTATAGCTCAAAAACTATCAATTATTGAGCCTATTTATCTTTTCTTCATTAGTTTATAAGCTACATCACATGTGAAAATAAACTCATTTCATCGATTCAATTTTCCATATAATTTCCCTATTATCATGTAAAAAATTAATTTAAAAAATGTATTGCTAAGTTTTGAATTAAAAACAAAAGTTACGACGCGTAACGTATGTTTTATTAGTACGACTACAGTAGACACCAGTTAAAAACATTTTTTAATATAATATGTGATCCGATTTTGAATAACTTTATTTTGTATTAGGAAACAAAGGACCATGCACTCACAATGCTTTACCTAATTAATAAGCATCCTTCAAGCTATTTGCAAAAAATTTTTAAATTAAAAACTAATTTTCTAGTTTTTGCTCCTTGTAAGAGAATCAAAGTTATTTTTTCATATTCTTCGCTATCATATATGCTTTATTTTAGAACATTAAAATTTTTTTATTTTTCACACATGTGCATCATTCATAGTCATTCTTTAATTGTGTATTATTTTGCATGATACCTTAGGATTATTTTTAAAACTTTTGTAGTGACGTCAAAAGTATTAAAGAAAATATATTAATTAAATTAATACTATTCTAGTAAATCAATAAATTCTTTCTTTTTCCATCTCAAAAGGACGCGAACGTCAGCTAAAACATAACACACGTCAATTTTTCAAGAATCTGAGTCTCCTTGCTTATAAATATTTGAATCTGCGAACATATCGTTCAGTTTAGCTGTATATTTTGTACCAAATCACAAAATGATACAACTTATTTGGTACAAAATATTTTCAAAAACAGTTTTTAGCATTTTTGGATGGCACCCAATTGACCACGTTACGATTGGATACAAACCAATCACAGCGCTTGAAATTAGAAAGCCTCTAGGCACCGGTCGCTGTGAGTGGCTGTGCCCAATCGGAATCCTGCATTTTTTATATACTTTTTTGCGTTTTAAAAAATTTCTAGATAGTGAAGTAAGTTTCCAAAAAATAGAATGATGATTTTCTTCTAGTTCAAAACTTACTCTAAAATGACATCTCAATTCCTATATTCCTATATTCAGTAAACAAAATATTAACAACATGCTAGTAGTTTGCAAGATTCAAGCAGAATATTGAGGCAAATTGGTATTAATGTATCTGTCTTAAGAGGATGTTGAAAGGTCGGAAAAATTTGCACGAGGTCAATAAAGTAGACTCTTCAGTGTCAGTGGTATCTCTAAATGAACTTCTTATTTAAGGCTTGTTTTTTATAGCTAAACTGCTGCACTAGTTCACATGTACAATTATCGTAACCTCTCACCTGACGTAAATATTTCATTGGTACAAAAGGTCTGTAGCTCATATGTACAAAAAAAAGTAGTTCGCGCGCATCGGATTACTTGCACGAATAATACAAGATCTATTCAGCTCCGATTGGAAGCGTAGAAAAACAATTATCGCTTAGAATGCAATTTGTGGTAATTCGTACGCTCGGCTAAGGTAAAGACAAAAATTACGTTTGACAGTAGTGCTAGATTTTCCAAGAGATGGCGCTTCAATAAGTTAGATAAGGACATTCCACGTGTTTGAGTGAGACAGAAGATATTGTAAGAAGTTCATTTAGAGATATACCACTGACACTGAAAAGTCTGCTTTATCGACCTCGTACAAATTTTTCCGACTTTCCAGCATCGCCTTAAGAGAATCCTAAACCCGAGATCAAACTCCAAAAATTCGCTGTTTTACCGATGATTTGTGAGTATGTATACATGACGTAGTAATGTGTAGTGATGTTTAGTGTTTACTACCACATCAATATATCTCACGCATACATATACATAAATCTGTCAGTTACTAATATATTTTTATTTAGGCTTCTATACTTAATTCTAACGATTCACATATATTCATTTCTTTATTGTACATCTGGCCCTGCTTTTATTTCGAGCATATAACCTGCCTAACTTTTCCACGTAATAAACATTTTGGTAAATTGACAGCATTAGTCGCCATGTTGAGGTTAAAATGGATAATGAAATCTGTAATTATTTCATTTTTTCCCGTTTTTGGTACAAAATGCACCAAAGCCAGATACATTAGCAGGTGTGTTTTAATTGTGAAATTTTCACAATTAAAGGAGGAAAAGGAAATTTTATTCTATGCGATTAATATAAAGTAATTAGTAACCAACAAAAATGATATTTTTGTTGGTAAAATAGACGACTATAGTATCCTCTTAAGGGAACGGCTGAACATGCATGAGGTCGATAAAACAGACTTTTCAATTTCAAAATTAAAAATATCGCTAATAGTGGTATCTTTAAATCAATTTCTTACAATATTGTTCTGTCTCACTCAAACGCGTACATTTGTCTTTATCTAACATATTGCAGCGCCATCTTTTGCAAAATTTGGCACTTACTGCTAGACAAAATTGATGCTCTGTTTACTATTCTGTATCTTAGATAAGCGTACGAATTACTATAAATTCGCAGTCGTAGAGGTACTTTTTCTTCTACGCTTCAATTGTAGCTTAAGGCGATCCTAAAGTCGTCTGTTTTATCGATCGAACGCGATTATTTTCCATAACAAAATAAACATAATTAAAGGCAACAGATTAAAAAATCCTTCTCCACGATTAAAGTATAGGCATCATTGTAGTTCCGGCTGGTAGCTGTCTCTTATACACATCTCTGAGCGGGCTGGC